AATGGTTAGGTTTAGGGTTAGGTATGTACTGGTAATGGTTAGGTTTAAGGTTAGGTATGTACTGGTAATGGTTAGGTTTAGGGTTAGGTATGTACTGGTAATGGTTAGGTTTAGGGTTAGGTATGTACTGGTAATGGTTAGGTTTAGGGTTAGGTATGTACTGGTAATGGTTAGGTATGTACTGGTAATGATTAGGTATGTACTGGTAATGGTTAGGTATGTACTGGTAATGGTTAGGTTTAGGTATGTACTGGTAATAGTTAGGTTCAGGGTTAAGTATGTACTGGTAATGGTTAGGTTTAGGGTTTGTTATGTACTGTAATGGTTAGGTTTAGGGTTTGTTATGTACTGGTAATGGTTAGGTTTAGGGTTAATTATTATTAATGGCTATCACTCAGTTTTACTGATTTTGATCTAAAATTAGTGTGATAGTAGCTTTATCTTTAACGTCACATACTCGGTGCCAATAGATCACACAAGATCTTTGTTGAAACCTTTGCTATGCAAGTCAGCGGGCAATGTGCATTCCATCAATGATTGTTCTATTTTCATCTACTGGGTCCAAAGATAAATAGAAACAGAAGAAAGTCCAAATGTCACTTTGTCCATGTGTTAATTAAAAGTCTGGTCACCAAATGTTTTTAACTAGACTACTGGTCAGTGAGATTTTATTACCCAGCATGCCTCACTCTATCTCAATCTCTTCACTTCTGCTTTATTCTTCCTTTTCTTTTTCTTCCTCCTCCACTCTAATCTCTTCCATCTTTTCATGGGTTTGTGTACCTGCTGCTCAGTATTTACACAGCAGTCGTCCATCTCTCCCTCCTGCCTTTAAATCTGTTCTTATCTTTCTCGCCAACACCTGATTCATTCCTCTGAAGCTTTTTTTCTCGTCAGAAAATGAAAAAGTGCAAGAGCCGGGGGTTGTTTTATCTCCACATGTCTGTTTTCATTTATCAATAATCCATCCTTCAATATGTTTTATGTGTCTCTGGATGCACTTTAAAGTATTATTGAATCTTGGCTTTTAGATCGTGAGGTTTACTTTATTCACACAAGTTTTTACACAGAAATCAGCTTTTATTCATTAAACATGTGATTTTATAAAACATAATATGCCGGACTTGTTTGGCTCTATTAAAACATTTAAACAGTTTTTAATACAAAAATAATAACATTTCTGTGTAATCAGCCATCATGTTGGGCTCTTGTTTTTATACTTTCTGATGTTCAAAGAAAAGTATTTGATTTATTTACAGTGAATCCATTGCTTGATTTTCCATTTACTCATCAATCGTTGTTTTGTTTCCAGTCCTCATCACCTTTTTATCTGCTTTTAACAAAGATGGCCCTTCTGTCTTCAGCCTGCCAGCTCGGTTGTCAGTAGAACTTTTTGTGGATGTTTTTCAGACAGTTTGGCTGACTGTATGGACCCAGACTGTTGTCTGCAAGTCTCCTGTCAAAACCAGATGTACTGCAAAGGCTCACCAGACCCGGCTGAGGTGCTCAGCCAGTCTCTGTCTTCTCTGGCTCCTCAGCAGGTAAGAAAAAACATCAATCAAGAAGAGTCCAAGAAGTTTTACTTTCACTGTGGCAGAAGCACTGTTTGTTTTTCTGGTCTTGTTCCTTGTTGTTCTTAGGCTGCCAGATCTTTCCATCAGCGCATTCACTTCCTAGTTGGACCTGAATCTACTCATGTCAGCACTGGAGTGAGTCCATTTAATAAAAGGTAATCAGAAATAAATCTGCTAATCTTACTAAAAGAATTAACCCAGGATTGATATCAAAACTTCTTTGATCATTAAAAAAAAAGAAAATCAATAAAAAACAAATGAATAATTAAATAAATAAAAATTTGTTGTGCATGATGTCTCCATCCATCTCTTCCCTTATCTGTGTCTGGGTCACGAGGACAACATGTTCGAGAGGGACACTCGGACATGTTTCTTCTCAGCCACAATCCTTTTGATCTTCTCGCAGTGGAATGTGCCCAGAGGGAGACACCCAGGAGGCATTCTAATCAGATGTCTGAAACACCTCTTTAGATGATGAGGTGGAGCTTCTCTTCAAGCCCCCTACAAATGGTGGAGCTCCTCGTTTATCTCTTAAGGCTGAGCAGGACAACCCCACAATGGAAGCTCATTTCAGCCACTGATCTCTAGGTTGTACTTTTAGGCATGATTCATACCATAGGTGAGGGTGAGAGCTTTGCCTTTTGACACAGCTCCTTGTTGACCTCAACAGACAGAAGATGTCCTCATTACTTAGGATGAGGTCCTGATCCATCAGTCCATCTGCTGCTCCATCCCTGGCAGAGGTCGCTGAGGTCAAAGAGCTCCCTGGTGGCAGGGCACCAGGAGTGGACAAGTTCAACCTGAAAGGGTGGAGGTTGTGGATGGTGTGAGGCTGTCAGATAGTTGTCTCCTCAGTGTCGCATGGAGGGCTGGAAGAAGTCTGTGGATTGGCAGACTGCTGTCGTGCTCCCCATTTTAGCAAAGGGAGGCCACACAGTGTGTTCCAGTTATTAAAGGGTCACACTAGTCAGTCTCTCGAGGTGTCCCCGGGTCCTGGAAGAGAGAAGACTGTTTTGCTTAGACATTGTCTTTGTATAAATATCTATATCTGTGCTACGTCTGGTGCAGATACAACGCTTTATGCCCTCTGTGGCTCAGTTTGATAATAACTCTTAAAGGCAGAATAACAGATTTTGGACATAATACACCTTTAAACAAAACAATGAACAGTCTCATGTGTCTATCTTTCCAGTTTGGTGTCAGTAATCCGAGGCCAGGTGCTGACTTCTGATGGGACCCCGCTGATTGGAGTTAACGTGACGTTTGTTCACTATCCTGACCACGGATACACCATAACGCGCACTGATGGCATGTGTGTACTCATCTTCCTTTATTTCTGTATTGCTTTAAATGTTGTCTATTTTACATTTCTGTTCAGAACCATTTTGACCTGAGCTCACCTTAATCTTCACCCTAACCTTAATCTTTGGCCCTAACCACACATTAAGTTGTGAAATCAAGCCAAAGAAGCACCTGCAGAGTATGGACCCTTCAGATTGAAATTATGAAAAAGTCTGCATAATTTGGGGGTAGCGTTGGCTGAGTGGTTAGAGCAGTCGTTCTCCAATGGGAGAGTTGGGGGTTCGATTCCACCAGCAGTTACATGTTGAAGTGTCCTTGGGCAAGACACTGAACCCCTCATTGCCTCTGATGTGTGTCCCATCGGTGCGTGTGAATGTGATAAAGCTCTGATTATTCTTTGTATAGATCTAGTAGAGTGCTGTATGAATGGGTAAATGAGGACACAGATTGTTGTAAAGAGCTTTGAGTGTCTTGATAAGATAGAAAGACACTCTGTGCATATACAGCCCATTTACAATTATTATAAATATTCTAAAGCAGAGCACTTTATCATAATATTTCAGGATTACACTGAGAAATAGCCATAAATAGATAAAGTTTGAAATAAATAAAGACAGAGTTTGACAGGATTTGCATTTAAAAAAAACTTTGATGCTTGGACCTTAAGATAAAACACAAAACAGCACTGGTTCCGTCTAGGGCTGGGTACCTTTAAATAAATTCAGTATCGGTACCGGTACTTTCACTTCGGTATTGGTTCCTGAACTGTACTTTTTTCTGTACTAATTTTATAATTAACAAGAAGAAAATAATGTTACACATTACAGTACAAATATTTAGTTTTATTTTTTTTACTTTGGTATTTTTTCATTCCAAGCAGTTTTATCAGGTCTCTCTTGTAAATGAGTCCTCGAGGCTCAATGGGATTTACCTGTATAAATAAAGGTTGATTGATTTTCTTACATTAAAATAAACAAATAATGTCCAGTTCAAAAGACCAGTTTCAAACAACCAGTGACACGTCAGTGTCTAATGGTCACTGCTACACACTGAGGACCTTTTCACTTAACAGTTTTTCTTCAGAAACAGCATGTCTGCTTTCTCTGGACACAAACAAGCCGCTCCTGGCTGATGGTGTCTCCAGCAGTAGGAAGTGTTCACTCCGAGGCTGTAGATGATGATTGTTGCACACACAGATACCTGGTTGTCAGTTTGACAGCACTGACATATTGTCCCTCACATCCCACCAGCAGGTCACTGGATTCACTGAGGTTAGGGTTGATGCAGACTTCTGTACCTCTGTGTCTCTTCCTGAATCTTCTCTGTGGTTCTCTGGGGTTTATGACTCTTATCATCTCCCTAATTGACATTAGAACAAAAAAACATCAACATTAACATGGTTGTGTTATTATTGATCAAAAAACATTATCTAGGCTGAGAGATAAATGTTTAACTGGTCAACAAAATCCTTTACAGTTTACTTACCTCCACCATGCAGCCTCCACTGTAGAAAAGGCAGCAAACTTAACAAAGTTTGTAATTGTCCTGTGGCCCCCACCTCACTTTTCTTTTGTCCTCCTCACATCAGGGTCAGAGGCTCCTGCGAGGAGAACTTGAACATAAACAGTGAACATCAGGTGAACTGTTTAACCAGCTGCCCCGATGGATGAGCACATGTTTACAAGCTTTATCTGTTACTGTCAACCTTTAGTTAGCTTCTGATTTTAGCTAGCTACATTGCATAAAGCTACACACTAATATCTTAAAGTTAGCGTTACATGGATCCTAGTTTAACTCTCAGCGATGCACGTATTAAGTTGCAGTAACGTTAACAAACGTAAACTTGCCAGCTGAAATCCCAGACACAGCTCCGTCCTCAGAGTGAAGCAGAGTCCGGACGCAGAGATGTTGAATCAGGCCGTTCAGGCTCTGTAACACCCACAGGCTGACTTAAATGCTGAGATGGCTGCACTCCGCTCTTCTTCCAGTCAAACATGGAGCAACTTTACGCTCTGAAAGTCCGTGCACGGTCAGGCGCTGCATATTAAGGCTTGCCTTAGAAACCGCTTGAACCCCGTCTGTGGGCTAACCACGTATGTGTTTTTCCTGCGCTGCAAGTTGCTGCACTGGCGTTGGCTGTAACTTTACACGCGGTTGAAGCCGCATGTAACGTTACAGCCAATCACCAGAACTTTACACCGAAAGACGAGGTATTTTTTGATCCATACACCGACCGAAGCAGTTCGGTCAGCACTATAAAAGAACCGAAGTTCGATACTCAACCCTAGTTCAGTCAAAGATTTACAAAGTATTATACAGAAATAATTTAGGTACACTGGTACTAGTACTTCAAAGTGATGACTGAAGCTGTAAATATCTGAAGGAAGCCAAACAGAAACCCACCACCTCCATCTGCCTTGGTATCATAAGGGAGAACACTCAACTGTTTCACCACTTACATGATTGATTAGATGACAAGTTCTCCTGAAATACTGATCTCTCATAGAAACCACACGAGCTGAATGTACTATTTTGTTAAAAGATTTTTTTTTCTCTTGAGACAAACAGATCAAACTTACCTATTGACTCCAGAAAGCAGAGATATCAGCCCAACTACAAATCTGATTGGTTGATCAAACTATCTGGATTTATATTTTCATCTGTTGCAATCATCAGAAACTGAATGTGTACACAGAAAGAAAGAAATCTGCCCAGAGACAGCGCTGAAGAAAATTTCTCATTGATTTAGTTTCTCGCCACAAAACCACTCCAAAGTGCAGCAGTCGACCCTAAAACACAGAACCAAGTTCATGTTACACCATTACAGGCAAGCAAGCCATGGATCATTCTACGTTATTTGATAAACATGGGTGAAATAGAATAGTTTTGCATTTTCTGTTAAATACCATCAAATAAGCCTCACATAAAACACAGCAGAAAAAAGGAAACTCCAATAAGAAAATGTATTTAAAGCTGTAATTACTCTGAAAAGTTGAACATGTTTATGTGAATTAAATTAATGAAATACCAAAGATAATTTGGGGCTTTCAGTTTTGTGTGTTGTGCTGGAGCAGTCTGTGTCTCCCTGTATGTGTCTGTAAGACAGCTCTATGTGAGGCAGCAGGGGAACCAGAATGGCTATTCTTGACATTTACTATTAATTAAAAAAATAAAACAGATTGTTTCTCAGCCAGCTCATTACTTTGGAGTTGACATTTTATGCAGTTTTATATTTACGTGACTATTTTAGAACAAACCAACAATTTTCAGTCAGGTCATCTGGACAGTTTCTTTTTTTGTCCTGAAATGTTTCACCTTCCATCCAGAAGGCTTCATCAGTCAATAAAACACACAACACAAAACGGATTCTTCCCCCAACAGCTTACTCCAAAGTGGAACAAACCAGTTATGTTGGTGCTAAGTTGGTCTCTTTGGCACGCCCCCTCCTCCGGTGCCGGCCCTCTTCCTCGTCGACAGTCCACTTTGTAGTAAGCTGTTGGGGGAAGAATCAGTTTTGAGTTGTGTGATTCCTTGGCTGATGAAGCCTTCTGGATGGAAGGTGAAATGTTTCAACATAAAAAAAGAAACTGTCCAGATGACCTGACTGAAAATTGTTGGATTGTGTACCTGGATTTTTGAGCATGGACTTTGTTGGTTTCAGAACAAGATTTTCTTGTCTCTTTCTGATGGTTTGTAGGTTTTGAGCTTTTTGGAATACAAGTACATTTGTTTAATTTTCTAGTTAAAGCCTTTTAAAATGATTTGTCCTTCAGCTCAAAATCTTTGCTCAGAAAAAATATATTTTGAACCCAGTGTGGAAGCAAAAAGTTATCTTTTTTTTTTTACATTTTTTACAGTTGGATAATTGAAATCTTCAGCTAGCTTTCTGTTGTTTTTTATTACTTGAAATAAAATTGTCCTGACTGACGTTCTATAATTGCAGGTTTGATCTCCTGGCCAGTGGAGGAGCATCGTTAACATTAAGTTTTGAGCGTGCTCCATTTCTCACTCAGTACAGAACCGTATGGGTCCCATGGAACGTCTTCTACGTGATGGACACTCTGGTCATGAAGAAGGTGAGTGGTGAATCACAAAACCGATTTGTGATTCATTTAAAACCACAGCGTTCTACGCTAACTTCTAATGAACTAAAACAAATCTTAAGTCACTGTGCGAGAGTCGGGGGACACCTGGACATGTCTCCAGTCCATCACAGGGACACCTGGACATGTCTCCAGTCCATCACAGGGACACCTGGACATGTCTCCAGTCCATCACAGGGACACCTGGACATGTCTCCAGTCCATCACAGGGACACCTGGACATGTCTCCAGTCCATCACAGGGACACCTGGACATGTCTCCAGTCCATCACAGGGACACCTGGACATGTCTCCAGTCCATCACAGGGACACCTGGACATGTCTCCAGTCCATCACAGGGACACCTGGACATGTCTCCAGTCCATCACAGGGACACCTGGACATGTCTCCAGTCCATCACAGGGACACCTGGACATGTCTCCAGTCCATCACAGGGACACCTGGACAGGTCTCCAGTCCATCACAGGGACACCTGGACAGGTCTCTAGTCCATCACAGGGACACCTGGACAGGTCTCCAGTCCATCACAGGGACACTTGGACAGGTCTCTAGTCCATCACAGGGACACATAGAGACAAACAAGACAAACAACCATCCACTCTCTTTCACCTGGGGATAATTTAGAGTTACCAGTCAGCCTAACATGGTCTGTGGGAGGAAACCAGAGTACACGGAGAAAATTCACACATGGAGAGAACATGCAAACTCCACCCAGAGAGGTCTCCAGCTGGGAATTAAACCAGCAACCTTTTTGCTGAGAGGCAGCAGCTCTACCAACTGATCCACTGCGTAACACAACTACTTCCACAAATGTATTGTGTTTTTCTAACATTTAAATTGAAACATTCCAGAACGTCCCGCTGTACGAGCTGGATGCTAAGATTTTCAGTATTTCTTACTTTTATTTTTGAAATTATTTTATTTTATTTACAAAAATCTAAAGAAAATATATTTTCTCCTAAATTCCTTCATAACCACTGTCCTGCAAGCATTGGTGTTTTTTGTTGTTGTTTTTTTAGTCTTCTTGTGCGCCTTTTAGCTTTTAGGTAGAAATTTACCACTTAGTTATGCTAAATTGGATTAGCTAGCTTACTTAGCTTTTGCTCATTCTGGCTTTTAATTCCAGCTTTGCTGCATTTTAACTGTCAGATACTGTTTTAAGTCATTTTAGGTTTTAGACAGTTTTGTCAATTTTAACTTTTCGCTAAATTTTAGCTCCTGTTTTGGTGTGGGAGTGGTGGTGCAGAGATTAGAGAAGGTGAGTTTGTGATTTGGGAGGTCTCAGGTTCGAATCCCTTGACTATTACAGCAAATTGTGGGTGTGAAAGGTGAATCACCCACACCTGCCTCCACCCTCTTTTACCTCACTTGCCCCACCTTGGACCCTGAGCAACCCCACCATCTGCTGCCCTAGATGGCAGCCCTCTGCTCCACACATGTGGGCTGATGTAGCGCGGTGGTTACATTAGAAAGGGCATCTGTCGTACAAATAAAAGGTCAAATCTGAAAATGTGGCAACTCCTGAAAAAAGGAGCAGCCAAAAGAAGAAAAAAAGCTTATGTTTTGGTAATCTTACATTTTAAATATTGTTTTGGTAATTTTATACTTTTAGCTAAACTTTTACAGTGAGGATAATAAGTATTTGAACATCCTGCATCTTTGCAAGTTCTCCCACTTAGAAATCATGGAGGGTCTGAAATTTTCATCCTAGGTGCATGTTCACTGTGAGAGACATTAATTAAAAATAATAATAATCCAGAAATCACAAAGTATGATTTTTTAATAATTTATTTGTGTGTTACTGCTGCAAATCAGTATTTGAACACCTGTGAACATCAAAGTTAATATTTGGTACAGTATCTTTGTTTGCAGTGACAGAGGTCAAAGGTTTCCTGTAGTTTGTCACCAGGTTCACTGCAGCAGGATTCTGGACTGTTCCTCCACAGATCTTCTCTAGATCATCCAGGTTTCTGGGCTGTCACTGAGAAACACAGAGTTTGAGCTCCCTCCAAAGATTTTCTATAGGGTTTAGGTCTGGAGACTGGCTAGGCCACTCCAGAACCTTGATCTGCTTCTCACGGAGCCACTCCTTGGTTCTCCTGGCTGTGTGCTTTGGGTCGTTGTCATGTTGGAAGATCCAGCCACGACCCATCTTCAATGCTCTGAGGGAAGGAGGTTGTTCCCCAAAATCTCTCACTACATGGCCCCCGTCATCCTCTCCTTAATACAGTGCAGTCGTCCTGTCCCATGTGCAGAAAAACACACCCAAAGCATGATGCTTCCACCCCCATGCTTCACAGTAGGGATGGTGTATTTGGGATGGTACTCATCATTCTTCGTCCTCCAAACACGGCGAGTGGAATTAAGACCAAAAAACTTTATTTTGGTCTCATGTGACCACAGAACTTTCTCCCATGACTCATTTGGATCATCCAAATGTTCATGGACAAACTTAAGACGGGCCTGGACGTGCGCTGATTTAAGCAGGGGAACCTTCCGGCCCATGCATGATTTTAAACTATGACGTCTTAGTGTATTACCCACAGTGGTGCCAGCTCTCTTCAGGTCATGGACCAGCTCCTCCGTGTAGTTCTGGGCTGGTTCCTTACCTTTCTTAGGATCATTGATACGCCACCAGGTGAGATCTTACATGGAGCCCCAGTCCGAGGGAGATTGACAGTCATGTTTAGCTTCTTCCATTTTCTAATAATTGCTCCAACAGTTGATCTTTGTTCACCAAGCTGCTTGGCAGTTGCCCCGTAGATCTTTCCAGCCTTGTGGAGGTCTACAATGTTGTCTCTGGTGTCTTTGGACAGCTCTTTGGTCTTAGCCATGTTAGTAGTTGGAGTCTTACTGATTGTGTGGGGTGGACAGGTGTCTTCATGCAGCTACCGACCTCAAACAGGTGCTTCTAATTTAGAATAATAAGTGGAGTGGAGGTGGACGTTATAGAGGAGGACTAACAGGTCTTTGAGGGCCGGAATTGTTTCTGATTGGCAGGTGTTCAAATACTTATTTACAGCAGTAACACAAATAAGTTATTATATATATATATATATATATATATTTATATTTATATATATATATATATATATATTTATATATATATATTTATATTTATATATATATATATATATATATATATTTATATTTATATTTATATTTATTTATATATATTAGTTTTTAGCATTTTGGTACTTTTGTTTTTTGTTTTAGCATTTAGCTTTTAGCTTTTGATTTGTTGATATTGACGTTTAGCTAAGGTTTTGCTAAATTTAGCCATTCAGCTACAGTTTTGCTACTTTTACCTTTTGGCTACAATTTTGTACATTTGGCTTTTCACTTCAGTTTTGCTGATTTTAGCATTTGGCTTGTTTTGACTTTAATAATTCATCCTGCAAAAATGTCAGCAAAGCCATTCAGTGCTCATACACATTTCATTTTTGCAGAAAATGAAATTTCTCATGTTATGTTTAGTTTGCATTATCCACATGCTAAGTGTGTGACTGAGTGAAGAACAGACTGACTTGTTTTGTTTGGTCATTTCAGGAGGAGAATGAAATTCCAAGCTGCGACCTCAGTGGTTTCATCAGACCCAGTCCGGTCATTGTGGCTTCTCCTCTGTCTACATTTTACAGAGGGTCACATGACAATGGGCCTATTATTCCTGAAACTCAGGTAAGTCAAAACAAGATACTGCTCATGGATATTCAGTGTTTTGATGCATACTTTATAGTGGCCATAAACCTACTGGTTTACTAAGTAAGATCATAATAAATCCAAGCTCTTGCCCTCGAGCCTCACTTCTAAACGTATCTAGATGGTAACCATAGACTATTCAACAAGCTGTGTGTCGAAAAGGGCTGAGACATCTACTCGTTGAGCCACCTCACCAGAATACACAGCAAGAACATCGGAATCTTGAAAACCCCACATGCAACTGTAAATATGATGAGAAGGTCAGCCACAACCAAGTATCTACAGAGAGTAAGGCAGGCCCTAAAGAGGCCAGAACAAAGTTGAAGCCGTCAACACATATGCAGTGCCAGTCATCAGATATCCCACTGATACAATAGCCTGGTCAAAGAAGACGATAGAAGCCACTGACATCAAGGTACAAAAGCTCCTCACAATGCACGAAGGGATTTATCACCAAATCTAGCATCCTGAGACTGCACTAGGAGAGAGAAGGGAGGCAGAGGACTAGTGAGCATCGGAGCCACTTTACAAGCTGAAACAACCACGATCCTGGAGTACATCAGGAGGAATGCACCCAGTGATTAATCATAATAACCATTGGTACACTTGGTGTAAGTAGGACGAGGCTTCCAAACTTGAGAACACCAACATAAATGTGAAGTACAGCATCATGTTGTGGGGGGTTTTGCTGCAGAAGGGACTGGTGCATTTCACAAAATAGATGGCATCATGAGGAAAGAACATTGTGTAGAAATATTGAAGCAACATCTCCAGACATCAGCCAGGAATGTAAAGCTTGGACAAAAAAGTACTCAAATGCGCAATGATCCTAGGCCTACTTCCAAATTAGTTACAAAGTGGCTTTTGGATAATAAAGCCAATGTTTTGGAGCGACTATCACAAATCTCTTATACCAATCACATGGAACATTTGTGGACAGACCTGAAAAGCATCTGAGCAAAGCAACCTACAAATTGGACTCAATTCCACCTGTTCTGTCCAGAGGAATGGGATAAAATTCCAACAAACCATTGTGAGAAGCTTGTAGAAAGACAAACAAAACATTTGAAGTCGTAGTTTGAAGACAATGCTGCCAAATACCGAGAAAATGCATGAAAACTTGTAACTTGAAAGAAAGTAATGAAATATCCTGATGCATGCTCAAAGTAATGAAATATTATCTAAAAAGTTTATTCCCCAATATTCAGGCCTTAAGCAAATAGATATTTTGGAAATGCTAACCGACCTAAAACAGGAAATGTTTAGTCTGATTTAATGTCAGACGGAGATAAAACATTTGCCTTCCATAAATGGAAACGTGGTTTTAACTGTATATTTAAATTAAATTAAAAAAAAAAAATTATGCTCAGTACTTGGTAAACAAATACATTTTCAACTTTGATCTTAAATTTCATAAGTAGATTGTAAAATAAAAACCTGATCACAAATTGGTTTAAAATGTAAGTTTAGGAAAAAGCAAGCATTTTCACTTGTGTTCTCTCTAGCTCCCTCGTTATAAATGTGCTTTGAAATTTAAAAAGAACGATTCAACACTATTATACCTATAATCTAATCAATATTGAGCAATATTAAACCATATTTAGGCATCACAATTATAAGTTAATGCTTTTCTTTAAAAAAAAGAAAAAGAAAACTGATTTGTTTTAAAATGTTTGTTTTATATCTATAATACAGAGAAATCATAGGTTTTTTGCTCAAGGTTGTCATGATTGCCCTCCTGGGGCAGCTGTGGTGTAAAGATAGGAAAGCTGGCTTGGGACCAGAATGTCACAGATTCAACTCCCAGCCATGCTCACATGTCGTGGTGTCCTTGAGCAAGACACCTAGTCCCTAGTTGATCCCTGGGCACCTACAGAGCTGCCCACTGCTCCACTTGGGTGTATCTCAAGTGTGATGGGTTAAATGCAGAGAAATACAAGTAATTTTGTCATTGTGTGGGAATGTACAGTGATGACAACACATAGCACTTTACTGTCAGTATCTCATACAGCCCCTTATCTATGTAGGAACCACAGAAGAAAGCAGGGTTGATAGTTCTAGCAAACCTAAACAATTGCAACTTCAATGAAAAGGAGCACAAGAAGCTGGAGACGAGGGCTGAAGGAGGACATAGAAGTTGTGGAGAGTAAAGGCCTCAGTGGTGGTCCTAAAGTGGAAGGGTGTCTTCAACAGATACCAGAAACAACCTCAGAGAACTCTGTCCTGAAGAGTGCAGTCTTAGGAACAGCTAAGATACTGAACAGAACCCTGAAGGACAAACAGTAGAGAACAGTGTTAGCTTAATATGAGGCAGTTTGTGTTCTTGAGTGGGGTTCTTTTTTGTCACAATGGGTTAACCAGTACCAAGAGAAAAGAATGATGACATGTTCTGTTTTCACAGTTTCAACTAGTGACCCATGATTACTGTTAATGTGACACAGGGCAATGTTTGTTCTTGCATAGCTGCATTAAAGGGAGCAATTATATGCATCACAAGAAAACGTTAGATTTAAGTATGTTTGCGGGTGCATGTGGGTGCAGATTAAAGGAAGGCAAAAGGAAAACAACTTCATAGCTTTTGGTGAACCGAGTCCATTAGAGAGAAGGGCAGTCTTGAAGGGAATGTAATGGATCTATAATGAATGCTAAATGCCCAGCTAATGAAAAGAGTAAAAGTAGGACAGTCTAACTACCTTTTTTCAGTCCAAGTGCCTTGTTTCTTTTCAGATAATTCCTTCCATCTTGGTTTTTGTGTGCGTTCTTTTTCTAATATGTGGGTTTATCATATCTATTATAAGTGAAGAGAAATAGAAATATAAAAAACAAGTTAGTATGGGTTTTAAGAAAACGTAAAAAAGACTATTACAGTCAGTTACTGAGTAAAAATAGAAAAATCACCAAGGCTTAGTGGGGTATAATAAACAATGTGATAAAAAATGATAAAAGACAAACCATCCACCCATCCATTCATTTTCTTCCACTTATCCGGGGTCGGATTGCGGGGGATTGCAGCCTAAGTAGGGAGGCCCAGACTTCCCTCTCCCCAGCCACTTGGTCCAGCTCCTCCGGGGGAATCCCAAGGCGTTCCCAGGCCAGCCGAGAAACATAGTCCCTCCAGAGTGTCCTGAGTCTTCCTCTGGGTCTCCTCCCAGTGGGACATACCCGGAACACCTCACCAGGGAGGTGCCCAGGAGGCATCCTAACCAGATGCCCGAGCCACCTCAACTGGCTCCTCTCGATGTGGAGAAGCAGCGGCTCTACTCTTGAGTCCCTCCCGGATGATTGAGCTTCTCACCCTATCTCTAAGGAAGAGCCCAGACACCCTGCGGAGAAAACTCATTTCGACCACCTGTATATGTGATCTCGTTCTTTCCACCACAAACCAAAGCTCATGACCATAGATGAGGGTAGGAACGTAGATCGACCGATAAATTGAGAGCTTTGCCTTTTGACTCAGATATCTCTTCACCATGACAGACCGGTACAGTGCCCACTTCACTGCTGACGTTGCACCTATCCGCCTGTCTGAGCTCACACTCTATTTTTCCCCTCATTCGTTAACAATATCCCAAGATACTTAAAATCCTTCACTAGGGGCAGGACCTCCTCCCCTACCCAGAGAGGGCACTCTACCCTTTTCTGGCTCAAGACCATGGCCTCAGATTTGGCCAATAAGACCACATCATCGGCAAAAAACATAGAAGCGATCCTAAGGCCAGCAAAACAGATCTCCTCAACACCTTGGCTGCATCTAGAAATTCTGTCCAAAAAAGTTATGAACAGAATCGTGACAAAGGGCAACCTAGGTGGAGTCCAACTCTCAATGGGAACGAGCCCAACTTACTGCCGGCAATGCAGACCAAGCTCTGACACCAGTCATACAGAGACCTAACAGCCCGTATCAAAGGGCCTCGTACCCCATACTCCTGGAGTACCCCCACAGGGCTCCCCGAGGTACGCGGTCCAATGCCTTCTCCAAGTCCACAAAGCACATGTAGACAGGTTGGACAAACTCTCACGCACCCTCCAGGACCCTGCTGAGGGTGTAGAGCTGGTCCAGTGTTGTACAACCAGGATGAAAACTGCACTGCTCCTCCTGAATCCGTGGTTCAACTATTCGACGGACCCTTGTCTCCAGACCTCCCGAATAGACATTACTAGGGAGGCTTAAGAGCGTGATCCCCCTGTAATTGGAACACACTCTACGGTTCCCCTTTTTGAATAGGGGGACCACCACCCCAGTCTGCCAATCCAGGGGAAATGCACACGATGTCCACGCAATATTGCAAAGTCGTGTAAGTCAACACACACAACCCAACAACATCCAGAGCCTTAAGGAACTTTGGGCAAATCTCATCCACCCCTGGGGCCCTGCCACCGAGGAGCTTTTTAATCACCTTTGTGACCTCAGCACCAGAGATTGGAGAGCCCGTCCCAAAGTCCGCAGGCTCTGCTTCCTCAGTGGAAGATGTGCCGGTGGGATTGAGGAGGTCTTCAAAGTATTATGCCCACCGACCCATGACATCCCGAGTTGAGGTCAGCGGCACACCACCTCTGATATAAATAGTGTTGGTGGTGTACCGCTCCCCCCCCCCCCCCCCCAAACACACACACACCTCCCGCCCGAGATGCCGGATGGTGGACCAGAATCGCCTAGAAGCCATAAGGAAGTCATTCTCCATGGTCTCTCCGAACTCCTCCCACACCCAAGTTTTTGCCTCAGCAACCACCCGAGCCGCATGTCGCTTGGACTGCCAGTACCCATTAGCTGCTTCCAGGGTCCCACAGGCCAAAAAGGCCCGATAGGACTCCTTCTTCAGCGTGACAGCATCCCTCACTGCCAGTGTCCACCACCGGGTTCTAGGGTTACCGCCGCAACATGCACTGACAACATTGCTGCCACAGCTCCGATAAGCCACCTCGACAATAGAGGTGCGCAGCATGGCCTCTCGAACTTAATGTCCCCCACCTCCCCCGGAACGTGTTCGAAGCTCTCCCAGAGGTGGAAGTTAAAGCTCCATCTCACAGGAGACTCTGCCAGACGTTCTCAGCAGACCCTCACAATAGGTTTTGGTCTGCCAGGTCTGACCAGAATCCTCCCCCACCATCGGAGCCAACTCTCCACCAGGTAGTGGTCAGTGGACAGCTCTGCCCCTCTCTTCACTCGAGTGTCCAAGATATGCGGCTGCAGATCAGATGAGATGACAACAAAGTCGATCATTGAACTGTGGCCAAGGGAGTCCTGATGCCAAGAGCACATATGGACATCCTTATGCTTGAACATGGTGTTTGTTATGGGCAATCCATGACGAACACAGAATTCCAATAACAGAATACCACTCAGGTTCAGATCAGGTGGGCCGTTCCTCCCAACCGCACCCCTCCAGGTCTCACTGTCATTTCCCACGTGAGCGTTGAAGTCCCCAGCAGAACAAGGGATCCCAGGAGAGTCCTCAGGAGGCGCACTCTTAAGTACCCCTTCCAAGGGCTCTAAAAAGGTTGGGTAATCTGAGATGCTGTTTGACGCATAAGCACAAACATCAGTCAGGACCCATCCCCCCCACACGTAGGCGGAGGGAGGCTACCCTCTCATTCACCGGGGTGAACCCCAACATGCAGGCACTAAGATGGGGGGTTACAAGTATGCCCACTCCTGTTCAGCGCCTCTCACCAGGGGCAACTCCAGAGTGGAAGAGTGTCCAACCCCTCTCAAGGAAACTGGTTCCAGAGCCATGTGTCAAGGTGAGTCCGACTATTTCTAGCCAGAACCTCTCAACCTCACACACAAGCTCAGGCTCCTTCCCCTCCAAAGAGGTGACATTCCACGTCCCAATAGCCAGCTTCTGTAGCCAAGGATCAGACCACCAAGGTCCCCACCCTTGGCCACCACCCATCCCACATTGCACCCGACCCCTTTGGCCCCTACCACAGGTGGTGAGCCCATGGGAAGGGGGACCATGTCTCCCCTTCATGCTGTGCCCGGCCGGGCTCCATGGGTAATGGCCTGGCCACCAGGCGCTCGCCAGCATGCCCCACCTCCAGGCCTGGCTCCAGAGTGGGGCCCCGGTGACCCACGTCTGGTCATTTTTTCATCATATGGAGTCTCTGGGCTTCACTTTGTCTGGTCCCTCACCTTTGACCTGTCTGCCTTGGTGACCCTATTAGGGGCATGAAGCCCCTGACAGCGTAGCTCCTAGGATCATTGGGACACTCAAACCCCTCCACCACGGTAAGGTGGCAGCCCAGGGAGGGGAAAGACAAACATGTTTTCTAAATTATTTTGTTAAAGATAGCTCCAAAATTTCAGATAAAAAGAAAATAGTAGATGAATTCACTTTTTTTGCAAATGTCGGTGCAAGCCTTGCAGCAAACATCTCCAAAACGAAGTTTGATTACAAAAATATTAAGAATAATGTCAATAGCATGTTTCTTTTTAAAATAGAAAGAGAATAAGTAATTCATACTGTTAAATCCTTTACAAATAAGGGATCAACTGATAATGTAGATATGGACATGAGATTAGTGAAATTAATAATTCATCTGGTAACTGACCCATTCACATATATTTGTAATTTGTCTTTTTCTACTGGGAGATTTCCTGAAAATATGAAAGTAGCCAATGTTATTCCACTTAATAAAAATAGTAACCAACATTCTTTTTCAAATTATCGACCTATATTTTTACTTCCTCAGTTTTCAAAAATTTTAGAAAAATTATTTGTTGCCAGATTAGATAAATTTATCAATAAACATAATATTTTATGTAGTAATGAGTATGGGTTTTGTAAAAGTCATTCCACTTCAATAGCCTTGGCTGATATGCTTGAGGAAATATCTGTCGGTATAGACAAAAAACATTATTTTGTAAATATATTTGTAAGCTTAAAAAAAGCTTTTCATACCATTAATCACAATATACTGCTAGATAAGTTAAGTAAATGTGGTATTAGAGGTCTTGCACACAAATGGGTCTCCAGGTATTTAGAAAACAGAAAACAGTTTGTAGAGATAAACAATGTCAGATCTGACTTACATTCTATAAACTGTGGAGTACCCCAGGGGTCAGTTATTGGACCAAAACATTTTATTTTATACATCAATGATCTAGTTCACGTACCTAGACATCTTCAAAGTATTCTCTTTGCAGATGACACCACTTTTTTCTATTCTGGTGAAAATTTGACAAATGTGTTGGAGGTAGTTAAAAATGATTTGAGTAGCATAAAAACATGGTTGAATGTAAATAATAATAATATCAATAATTTAAAGTTAAAAATATCAAGGATAATTGCATTATTATATAAAGTGAAAGACTCACTAAATGATGAAGCATTGTTGATGTCATACAATTCACTCATCGTTCCCTATTTGACCTATTGTGTAGAAGTTTGGGGGAATGCCTGTAGCTCGTATACAAACTCTATTTTTATTCTGCAAAAAAGAGCTGTTAGAATTATAAGTGGAAAATCCAACAAATTCAATGTTCTGTAACTTAAAATTAATTAAATTTCACGACTTGGTGGACTATTATATTCTGCAAGTTATGTTTAAAATACATAACAATATGTTAATAATGCGTTTGCAAAACAATTTATTAAAAGAGACGGCATTTATAATTTGAGAGGATCAGAGATTAAAAAACAAAACAAAACAAGTCAGAACTAAACAAATGGATCGTTGTATTTCTCTTTATGGAACAAATCTGTGGAAAAGTCTGTCTAAAGAAACCAAAGAGAGTAGATCTATTTTAACTTTTAAGAAAATAATAAAATATAATTTTCTTTCAAGGCACAATGAAGTATATTGATTCAGAGGGCTGTAGCATAACATAGATTTTAGTTAGTTCTTTTGTTTTCTTTACATATACACAGGGCCTGTTTTGTGTTCAAAGATGTGTCTGTATGGATGTTGATTGAAACTTGGTTGCTTGTGGTGCCGTACATTGACTTTTGGGAAAAGGGGTAGACTATATAAGATTTTTTTCTTCAAACTACTCATTTTCATTCAGAACTTTTGTTTATGTTAACATGTGACATATTTATTTTAAACTGTAAATGAATTAAATAAATAAAAAGGTGAACTGATAGCAACAACCATGAACATAACTAGATTGTTTTATTATAAAAAGAAAATCATAAAAAGAGCAATATGAATTTCTTTATCAAAGAAAAATTACCCCCCCCCCCTAAATTTAACCATACTGACTGTTTCATTTTGAACATTTTGTTGCATAGATTTACACAAATATTAAAGCTAGCCTATGTTTTTAAATTTAATTTTAACTAAAACCAAATGTATTTTTGTGGGTAAACACAGAGTGAATTCTGGGCACTAATTAACGTGACTGAAATCTGTTGAAGAAAGAATTGTTAGCTAAAGTTAAGCAGAATAAAAGACGAAAGCAACCAAACAGCACACAGTGCCTTAAAGCTGAAAGGTGTATAACTGTTTCTAAAAGCTAAAATAAGCAAACATGTAGCTAAGAGTTAAAACTAGGAGAACATAGGTAAAATCTAACTTTTGCTAAATCTTAGATAAAAACCTAAATTAGCAAAACAGTAGCTAAAGGTTTAAAGGCGCTTAAGAAGACAAAAATAGATCAAGTATGCCGAGTAGATTTAAATTAATTTAGATGATCCTAATGTATGATTCTAAATAATTTAAAAAGAATATGTGAATGGTTATAACAGTACATAGTTTGCAGAAGTAACTTGAGTCTAAAACATACAGAAGAAACTAAAACTGAGAAGCTATCATGACTCAGCATGTGCGTCGTGGGTTTCTGATTCATTTGGACATCATTTTCCTCCACCTCGTACCTAACAGCTTCCGTTTTGTTGTCATGTGCTTCTCTTTGCACACCCGTGTATTTCTTTGTGAGGTAAATTAAGTAGTACAATACAAAAGTGTGAAAGTACAAAGTAACTCGGATGTGATTTCTGTTGTTTTTCCTGAACAGGTTTTACAAGAAGAAACGTCAATCCCTGGCAGTGATCTAAACCTGGTCTACTTAAGCTCCAGAGCTGCAGGATACAAACCGGTCCTCAAAGTCTCTATGACCCAATCGTCAATCCCATTTAACCTGATGAAAGTACGATGGCACGATGCTGCACCTCCCATTGAACCAACAACTTCATATTCAGGATCATCGCCTCCATGAACTGAACCCATTGAAATGTAAAAAAAAAATGTTTTTGTTTTATCCAGGTTCACCTGATGGTAGCGGTGGTAGGTCGCCTCTTTCAGAAATGGTTCCCTGCTCAGCCCAATTTGTCCTACACTTTTATCTGGGATAAGACAGATGCTTACAGTCAACGTGTCTACGGACTATCAGAAGCAGTGGGTGAGTTTGCTGCGACCAGGTGAAAACACAGAAAAGAACAGTTACCGTGTATTGTTTAAGGCATTTGACCCGGTGGTTATGGAGGTTATTAGTCAACTGGAGCGTCGGGAATTGATCTCCAGCTCCTGAAGTGCTCCAGAATGTGCTGTGGATGAACACTGACACTGAGCCCCCACAAGTCACAGTCAAAGGGGACAAACAGCCACTGGGTGGTTTGGTCTTGTGTTCACCACTTTGAAGATGAACAAGTGAACAAAATATAGAGATGTTCATGTTTTTCCCAACAATTTTTTTATTGTATTTCTCAATTATTTTGACATACACATCATATAAGCCCACACAAGAACAAGATGCGCCCTTTTAAATAAATATATGCATCTTTTTTTTTTTAATGTACAAGAGATAATAGTTCAATGTAGAGACTTTACTGTTTCTTATCGTCCTTTTCTGATCAGTTTTGTCCTTAGGTGTCCTCTTCTTCTTGAGACATGTCCACCCCCTCCACAAAGGTCTTGAAAGGTCTCCATATATTTTCAAATAGTTCGCCTTTCCCTTTTTGTAAATACGTTATCCGTTCCAGGGGTAACGTCATTAGCATTTGTCTGATCCATTGCGTGACACTTGGTCCTGTTGTTTTCTTCAGAAAAGTGCAATCAGTCTTTTAGCTTGTAATAAACACATATCAATTAATAGTCGTTCGCATTTGTTAAACATCGTATTTTTGGGGTACAGACCTAGTATTAAAAAGCTCGGATCTAGTACAGTGTCCTTTGAGACAAGCTGCTCTATGATTTGTTTTAACGCTATCCAAATTTTTTAATTTCCCTGCATTCCCAGATACAATGAAATAGTGTCCCCTTTTCTTCTGAACATTTTGTGCATGTGTCTGGTATATTAGAATTATATTGATTTAAAAAGATGTTCATGTTGATGCCCAAGACCATCTCCAAGCAGCTTCATGGTCTTCTGACCACAGCTGCCAATACTACTAAAGTGTAATAGGTTCGTGGGACTGTAATCAATCTTGCAGGATGTGGACGCAAGAGGAAATGCAACTCCAGCTTGATCGGACAGATAATGAGGATTATTGGGAAAATGTAAGGAAACCATCCAAAATCATTCTAACTGAAATCCAAGACTAATATGCATCACTTTCTGGTTGCACCTCCCTCACATTTTGACTCATAATGATGGAAGGAGACCTGGGAGGCTCAACTACCAACAGAGAAACACTAAATAGTCGGACAGAAATCAACCAAAATGCATGTTAACAACCAAAGTTTATCGGAGACCTTTCTAGGACTGATAGAACAAACCTATAATGTTATGGCTCTGAACATAGTTAGTTAGTTAGACAGACAGATACGTACATAGATAGAATAGTTAGTTTGTAACTACCAAAATGGCTCTGACTCGGTCAGTTTTAGATACCAAGTAAAAAAGTGGTTTAGTAGTAGCTGAGATCAGCCCCAACAAACACTTGGAGAACAGCACATTTAGCAACATTTTTACTTAAAATACTGGCAAGAACAGTTTGAATCAAATTAGCACAAGTTAGCTAAATATCTATGAACCACTGTACTCATCATAATGACACTTCCATCCATCATCTTTACCTGCTTCTTCCCTTTTGGGTCACAGGGTTTACTGGTGCCCGTGTCCAGCAGTCACTGTGTGAGAGGCGGGGGACACCCTGGACAGGTCTCCAGTCCATCACAGGGACACAGAGAGACAAACAAACATTCACTCTCTCACGCTCATCTAGGGACAATTTAAAGTTACCAATCAGTCTAACATGCATGCTTTTTGTCTGTGGGAGGAAACTGGAGCACCTGGAGAAAACCCACACAGCACAGAGAGAACATGCAAACTCCACCCAGAAAGGCCCCTGGCCGGGATTTGGACCGGGACAACCTGCTTGCTGAGAGGCAGCAGCTCTACTGATCCACCTTGCTGCCCTTAATGAAGCGTTTAGAATGTAATCACTGGATTTTCATCTATAACTGATTAACTTTTGAACCCACCACAATTTAAGTGGTCCCCACACCCAGTCTGCAATATTTATCACAAATTTACTCTAACTCAGTCAGTTTCATAGATATTAGAGCTGGACAATAATTCAATATCAATATATGTCGCAATATACATTTATTCAGTAACGATGATATGAGATTTAAGCACATTTTTGATATTTCGATAGGATTACAGCGTTTCACTGACGCATTTCTTTTTCTGTTCGGGTTGAAGCGGCCGCTTCAGTTTCAACTCAGACAGAAAAAGCTGCGACACAACTACGTAAGTACTGTTTAGTTGGCAGCTCAGAACACCACATCCAGAACACCATGGACTTTGTGGATAAGGTGAGGGATGTCATCATGGAGACTGATGAAACAATGGTCTCTTTTGATGTCACATCACTCTTTACGTGCATTCATGTTGATGATGCAGTAGAGGTGGTCAGTTTAAAATTAAAATCAGACACCACTCTGAGCAGCAGGACCACACTTTCCACAGAACAACTGTGTCAACTCTTGAAACTGTGCCTGCAGTCAACCTACTTCACATATGGGGAGCAATATTATAGGCAGAAACATGGGTGTGCTATGGGGTCTCCAGTTTCTCCTATTGTTGCCAACCTGTACATGGAGGAGGTAGAAAAGAGAGCCTTGACGTCCTTTTCAGGGACACCACCAAGTCATTGGTTCAGGTATGTTGACGACACCTGGGTTAAAAT